TATACTTGGTCTTAGAAAAATGATACCTAATAATAATATACAACAAAATAAGAAAGAATTTTCTTTGCTTTGGATGATCTTTATATTGTTATATTTTTATTCAAGGTGGTTGTCTATTTCTACAATCTAGATTCTTACCAATTCTTAACCTAAATTCTAAATCCATATTCAATCTTTGTTTCATCAAATATAGTTTTGTTCTTGCTTGACTAAGTTTGGTCCTTCTATTCATGTTTGATCTAAACAACAATTATTCAAACATATTTTTATTTATTTGGTTAATATATTAGAGATTATTATAAATTAATACTACCTTCTACATAATTGAATTATACTCCTAAGTACTTCAAATTTTAAAAATATAAAAATTGGTAATTGTTTTTGAAGAATTTTTGTTTTAATTTACTAAAACTAAGAGGTGTTGGTTGTGGTTCAACTATTATTGTATTATCTTGTTTATCTTCCAAGTAAAAGTTGGTTGCCTTGAAGGTGCTTGGTTTTGGAAAACTTATTGTGAAAAGTGGTACCAACTAAGTGCATAAGATTGAATTGGTGTCAAAGAAAGGAAGTATCATTGGTTCCCTAATTTTGGACTCAAGATGGCGGTTAATCTTGCCTTAAACCTAAATAGTTAGAATGATTTGATTTTAATAATAAAAAATAATATAATATATTTTCATAGAAGATATTTCAAGCATCTTTCTTTCTGTGATGTCTGATTAAATACATCAAAATTAGGTGCCAATATTTTGTAACATATATGTTATTGAGTGGTTATTTTTAATATATAAAATTAATTGACTATCATTTCCTAGGACCAATTTTTGTCTACAAATGCTTAGTAATTTTCTGTTAGGTGTAAAGCATGTTGGCCTTGGTTTATTGTTTAGCTAATAAATTTTTGAGTTTAGTCTACATGGGGTAATGTAATATTTCTTTAGAAAAAGTTAAAACTTTGCAATTAAGAATAGTTTTGGCTTAATAGACATGATTATTAATGTTCTTTAAAAATTGGTAGACAAGTGAAATTCTATTGATGTTTTATATTGTTGTAACATATGGGATGGCATTAGGATTATTTATTGTTTTGTCTAAGGTGGTGATATAAATAGAAGTTATTTTAATCAACCTTGGACTAATTTTGCATAAAAATAAGTTGGAAAATATCCATCAAGGAGTGGTAGTGGCTACTAGTGTTTTTGCTATTGGTAAAGAAGAAAGTATTACACTAAGCAAGCTTTTTCAAAGGCCAAAAAAGAAGAAAGAGAGAGAGGATTGAATCAACCAATTTTGTTTTAGTAGATTTTTCAATGGAAAAATGTCCTATTTAGATGCAATGTTGTACTAATGGTAGTATCAATTGTAGAATCTCTATTAGTGTGGTTGCTTAAACTATAGACTATTTTTTAAGTTTCTTTTTTCTTTTTTCTTTTTTTTTCTTTTAAAGTTAAATTGTCAATGGCTTGTAGGAAGAATCTTTATAAAGATGGATTTATCAAAAAAATCTTATTTAGATTTACCAAGTTGCATTCAAGCATAGAATTTTGATGTAGAGAGACATGAGTTGAGTTAGATAGGGCATGGGTCTAAATGGTGGCAAATCCAATGTATGTCATTAAATTCATATGCGTTATGCTATGCTAGATATGATTGCAAAAGTATATGTTAATCTTTTTGATAAGTGTCAATCTGAAAATATTCATAGGATATGGTATATTTGAGATGAACCATCTTTATCTATTATTGATATCTAAGTAGTTATGTAGATAAGAAAGTGGTAGTTGTTGCTATAATGTTGCTTAAGTTTATAGTTGCATCAAACTTAGACTCTATATTACAATGGCTAGTATAACTTTGTGAAAAAATCTAATTCTAAAAGTTTGTCACATATTTTTGCTAAAATGCATGTTTGTCTCTTTGACTATAATATGGCTATGTCAAAATAAAGATGTTATATAATAGGTGCTCCAATTGTAGTCGGTTTTAGGATAAATTTTAAAAAATAAATCTTATAATTAAATAAATAAATAAATAAAAATAAAAATATTCTAAAAAAATACTATTAATCTTTGCATAAAACAAAATAAAGATAATCTAACAATAAATTCAATCAAAAGACTCATTGTTAATAATAAAAAAAATAGATTGATTTTCTTTGAAGAAACTAGATTTTTTAATTTTTTTAAAAGTAAAAGAAATAGATATTTGAATATTACAAGTTATTTATTAGAGGCCATAATATCAACCAAGCAAGAGTTGTAATATATAAAATTTTGTAAAGAGTTGTATTATATATTAAGTAAATAATCATACTAATTAGCTAAATATAGAATTATTATAAATTCTTTAAATTTTAAAATATTATTTAAATATATCTTCTTTATTTAAAATTATATTAAAATTACAAAAGTAGAATATACAATGAAATCTTAGTTGTAATAAATATATTTGGTAAATCAAAAAAAAAAAAAAAAAAAAAAAAAAAAAAAAAAAACATTCACTTGAAGATTTAAACTGTAGCAATGTAATAACAACATTTATTTTTGACTAATAGGTTTTTTTATATGAGTCACTTTAAAGCATAGTAAGTCATGAAGATGTACAATTTTAAAAAATAAATATAAAGACTTAAAAATAAAGAAGATGAGATGGAATACATTTATTTTTATACATAGCATGAGTAATGTTGTCTTACAAAACTTCTATTGGATTTATATCAAGAAGTGGTTTTTAGAATAATTTAAGAAGTCATATAAAAAATGCTTAAAATGAGCATTAAAAAAATATAAAATCATTTTTTTATATTTCTCATAATGGTTTGTATTAAGAGCTTACATATTTAAAATTGTAAACAAAAATGATTAGATTCATTTTAAAGCCTCTTCTGATATTACATTATATAAAAGACTATGGCTTTATAAAGAAGGTTTTATTTTTTACCAACCAAAAAATCTTAATATGGCTACTAAACTATAGACTTTTAAAGTAAACTTTTAAATATAAGTATATCTAAGGAAAAAATATAACTAAATTGACTTTTTAAGAGTAATACTTAATAAACTTATCAAGACAAGGCCAATAATATTTTTTAGAAGTAGTCAACATCTAAAGATGTTTGTTAAATACATAAATTGTTAACTAGACTTAAAAACTACAAAATAGTTTTGAATAAGACAAGTCTTAATATTAGATTTAATGGCAATCAAATAATTTTTGAGATGAACAAAAATAAAGTGCTAATATAGAATGGCATCTAAACTTCAATAGAATAAATTTATGTAATATTTTAAAGAAATATGTACAAATAAAATAAAAAGTAATGATATTTTTTAAAAATAAATAAGTATGAAATAAGTTAATTTAAAAATAGAAGAAATTAAAATAAAAAGATTCAATAAAATAGTAATATTCCAAAGTATGAGAAGGTGTAACAATTAAATAGAGTTGTTAATTGTTGAAGGCCTCCAAAATATGAGCCTTGGCAAAACATAAATATAGGTTATTATAGCAAGAGCAATAAAGAATGGTTGAATAGAGGCACAACAAATCTTAATTTGGAACAATCAATTCCAAAAATAAGCTTAAATAAGATTGCTTTTAAATGACTTAAAAAAGGATACAGAAGAGAAATGAGAAAAGTCATTTGTTTCCAATTTGGAAGTTAGCTAAGAAAGAAAATCCAAAGTCATCTTGAAATAAAGAACTAAAATTGCAAGTATTTGTATAATATAATAGATGTCTCTACTAAAATGCACATGATGGTGGACTAGTAATAAGAATATCAAACAACATAATGCATTTATATATATATATATATATATACACACATAAATACATATAGAGAAAGAGAGAAAAAAGAAGAAGGATGTTACCAAAGTATCAAGGAGAAATCAAGTCTTGGCTCTTTAAAATCTAATTGCATTATATTAATGTAATTTTTTTTTTAATTTTATGTAGAATTGCCCCTAAATTAAATCCTCTAAATGAACTTTGCTTTAGGTTTTATCATCTACAAGATCTAATCATGTATGCAACCCTTGATGTCCACCCATTGTATTCATGATACAGCTAAGGATCACCCCTCCACAAATTCAACACCTAATTTCTTAAACAATTGATCTTAGTATTCCTAAATTTTGACAACATTGATTCTTTGCTCTAACCGCATAGTTCTAACTATAGCTCCAACCAACCACCATAGCACCCACATTTTAGATTAACCAATCCAAAGCATATTGAACTAGAGAGAAAACCAAGGATTCTTCTTAGAAGATACAGGATTCTGATACATCTAGATCTTTGAGAGGTCGATCCCTGAGTGCGTCCCTCTTGCAGAAATTTGTTCTACTAGGTGCATGGGAATCAATACGTATGGTTGTGATAGAAGTGCATGAATTATTGTAGACTCGACAAGTGAATTGCAAAGAGATGGTTGAAAGTTAAAGAGTAATCCAAGGTGCGAAGTTTGAATTATTCGGCTTGATGTGAGCTGCTAATTCATCTACAATGTCATGGATGTCACAGATCCTAACCGAGTGAATTGAAGTTTGATTTAAAGTACCTAAAGATCTGGAATACTGATGTGCTTGTCAGATGGAGGAGGACGGATGGCGATTTCAAATAGCAAGTTCGGGTGGAGAAAAACTGAATAAGAGAGGGGTCCACAAACATGCCTCTCAAGATTGTTCGAACAAAATTGAATTCCTGGGTAATAGCTTGGAAATGGACCTCGCGCTTTGGAACTATCAAGGTTAGAGAACAGTTCCCAGCGAGGCCCGCTTCATCAACAGGTCCATGATATGTATTGAAAAATGTTCCGAGTTTACCGTTGAAAAAAAGTTACGAACTTCAAGAAAACTCACTGAACACTAACTCTTACAGTATTTCAAAACCACATACTGGAGTCTAGCAACATGAAAAATAGACGACGACAATACCAGCGCTGTGATCTCAAGTGAAACAACTTCATACAATGAAATTCACTTCTTTTTTTAACAACGTTTAAGACAAAAGGAGCTTTCTTTTCAGGAAAAGGTTTTTCAATCAAAAAAATACTTGAGACATTCAACACAGAAAGCGAAAGTTCGTGCCGCATAGAAATGTGACACATGGAAGCCTCTAAAAGCTGTAAGTGTGGCGCAAATCTACTATGGTCATCAGAAAACATCTCGGCTGATCATCGTAGTCCTTGTGAGAAAACAAAACTTCATTGCTACTCTGTATTCAGAACATGAGATATTTAGGAGGTTACCAAAACTATGATATTCTTCATTTTTAGGTCATGTTACCAATAGTCTTCATCTTTAGGTGTTTTAAGAGGATACTGGAGATCGGGGAGCCTGGTCAGAAAAGCCTCCAGAAGGTCGAGAACGCCTGTATGTATAAATCATGCACATAACTTGATCAGTACTGAACGAACCTAAGGTTCTATCAAAGCACAACAATTAGGAAAAAAGTACTCGAGGGACAAAAAAATTACCTGACATCAGCAGTAGGAGACGCCGTGAATTCATCTCGGGCAGCGTCTCGGGAGTGCGGCCGATGACTTGATGGAGATCCCCTTCGAGCTTGGGGAGAGGGGGATCGCCGCCTTCTCGGAGGGGTAAGAGGTGATCCAGCTGGAGACCTTGAGCGTGACCTGTGAGACCATTTAAGCAAAATACATGAACCATTTCATGTAAGTCAAGAGCGAACACAAGAAGATCGCTTGGCTATAAAGGAGTGAATGTTTAAGAGTTATCAAAGAACATACCGTGCATTATTACTGTCTCTACCGTTCATACGAGGCTCAGCATCCCTTGCTCGAGGCTCAATATCTCTGGCACGAGGCTCGACATCTCTGGCACGAGGCTCGATGTCTCTTGAGTGAGGCTCGACAACTCTAGTACGAGGCACAACATCTCTAGCACGAAGCTCGGGATCTCTTGAACGAGGTTCAAGTTCTCTTGCGCGGGGTTCACCGTCTCTTGAACGACGAGGTAAGGCTGGAGACCTCTCTCGAGAAGGCATGGGAGACCTCTCTCCAGTTCTTCTTCTGTGAGACCTCACAGCAGAGGGTGATCTGGAAGGAGCATTGTTCTCACGTCCAGGAGAGGGTGATCGTGCAGGCCTTGCTGGTGGTGTCAAAGATCTACATTTCAAAGGCATTGATAGTTAACGCCTTATAGTCCAAAACTGCACCTTGAACAGGTCATTTGTTTCCAAAGCTCATAGTCAATATAACTGGAATCTGAGTTATAACACGAACGAGATTGTTTTGCCACACGTGTAGTGGAAGTAAAATCATCCCACAATATAGAGCTTTTCACTTTTGTGATGCACGGGCTGCATAGAATTAGGGTTTAAACACAAATGCAAACTTACATACCATAAACCACAAGAGCAACTCCAGTTAACACAATATAAGGCTCCTTACCTTGATCTACGACCACCTCTAGGAGACGGGGAGAAACGTCGCGGTGACCGGGAGCGAGAACCTGTATAAGTACAAGAATTGTTTCAACTTAAAAGCCTAACTTTAACACAACCTTGAAACAGCATTGATATACTTGAATTCAGTAGATATTATCTTATCCGGTGATTATTCAAAAAAAATGCAAAATAACTTTAAATGTCACTGTAACTCTAAAGCTACAACCTGGAATAAAGTCCTCATGAAATACAATCAATAAAGTGAGAAGCGAGGGATAACACAAATGCGACATTCATCCTAAAACAAGTTACTGTCAATAGCAAAGCAATGAAATGGAAGAGAACAAACTGAATCCTAGTTAAAATGACAAGTGCTGCGACGTATAAGACCCCGAACAAAAATAAAAACAAAAACACGCTGAGCACGAGCCTTACGTCCATAGGAGGATCTCGATCCTCTGCGACCACCAAAACCAGGGCGACCTCTGCAAGACATAGTGATTTGAACTCCGTCATTACACACTGTTTATAACGAAGAAAACTATCACAACATGGATCAAACAAATATGGAGCATGACAGAAAAACGCAGTAAACAACTCAAACAATAAAACAAACTCGGAGCAAGACCACAAATTTCAGCATTTCGTGAAAGACTTTTGACAACTAACCCAACAGTAGAAAAAGCAGAACACAAGAAAACCATAGAAATCCAAACATGAAAACTACATCAAAAAAACTCCACAACGAATATGCACCTAATTCGTTCTTTGGTTCTCATTTCCTGGGGCTTTTTGCGATTCTCCTCTGCAAATACAACTGTTATTTCTCGACCTTGGATTAATTGATGATCCAAGCAGTATTGTGCTTCAGCGGCATCTCGTGGTTCCAAAAACTGTACAAATCCAAATCCACGTGGCTGTCTGCAACAACCCCAAAGTACATGAGCTTAGTCTACAACTTAAATCTTTCCTGAACAGATGATACGTTAAGGATGCAGAGAAGTATTGATCCAGATGCAGATGACATAGCATGAAACAATCTGCAAGATGAAACAACAGTATTAACGTAAAATAAATACATCTCTTTTACTTTCGAGAAAATATTGCAGTTCACGGTGCACACTAATGACAGGAAGATCTCAAGGACGCAGCTCACATTTGTCAAAAGAGACTCTTCAAACGAAAGGTGGAAGGGGCACACAGCAATATGTCCTAGCATTTTAATAATCCTACTAATGTCGGAATTATATGAACTCGAAGCAATAGGTCGAAGCATTAAATTCAACCGAGTTCTTGATCGTAATAAATTGTCAGGGCAAAACACCTTTCAGCTTCTGATGTTCTGCATATTTGCCACGACAGGCTCTGACTCCCTCATCACCGCAAACTCATCAATTAACACAGAACTTCCCCAGTCACATGGTGACTATGCATAGAAACCACCAGTGACATTAGCAGCTAACCTTGTGACCAAAACAGGCCACATTTCACGCCTTACTACAGAACCCCTCTTCTTCCACTTCTTCCAATTTCTTCCATAATTTTGTGGCAAAGCATGGCACTTGCTGCTTGGACTTTACTCCAATATCCAATGCGTTGAGGAAACATCATTAACTTTGTTCACCTCTTCCACCTCTTGGAACCTCTTGGGCCACCGACCAATTCTATCTTCGCTTCAAAATTCAAACTTCACTATCTTGAATCCAGAGCGTGAAACTTCAGAAACATCTGGGTACTGGTATTCCTCATGTAGACTTCTGAAGCCAAAGTGTTAGGTTACCAACGGAGTGAACAATTAAGCTTACTAAAATACGATTGACCATGTGGACACCCTCTCATGAAGAAACCGGCACGAAGCCCCGTCATCTAAAAATTAAAAACACAAATCGCTACCTTGTCGATGACTCAAACACATGTCGGTTTAATGATCTTGTACTAATTGAGGTTTAAATGGCATTCGGATAGTCAACAGCTGTCAGCAGGTACACTACCGACTGGCAACAACCTAAGCCCAAAGTTGAAGAAAAAACCACTCTAAATCAGGGTGAAATCGATTCATTCGAGAAATTATCCGATAAAAAATACTGGCACTCTCCTGTGGTGAAAGATAAGACAAAAAAGAGGGACATGGCCAATTTGACAGAGTACCATTCCCTATTCGTTCACAGACAAGCAAAAGAAGAGACTGGTTGTTAGGAAAACAGAGACAACCGACCAAACGAGGTATATGTCAGACCACACCTCTTTGCAAATCTGTCTCTTCAATATGCAAAATTAGGTCTACGCCGCCATTGGAAAAGTGTTAAAAAAGAAAGTGTCACGGAATTCAAGAGAACTCCGTAGAAGGAAATACCCAGTGTAATAATCTCTGGGGAGATAAACATCCTTGACAACTCCATATCGCTCGAACGGAATCCGGAGATCTTCGGCACTGTGCAGAAACAGGAAAAAAAATATAAATAAATAAATAAATAAATAACCCGGTTATCAGTGTGCAAGAAATCCTACTGAACAGGCTTTGAAACTGACAAGTTTATAAATGACCACTGGTGACAGCCACACGCAACTAAATCAGCCCCTTCCGAGAGGAACAACATACAATGAAGATGATAGAAATACAACACTACTGCGCGTGGAAGTGAAAAATTCAGGTACCTGCAGTCTCGTGGTATGTTGCGCACTAGAAGGCTACTGGGCTCAGTAGAGTCCCGTCCGTATCCTCCGCGACCGCCACGAGGGCTGGGACTACGCCTTCTGTTGCCACCGCCATGGCTTCTTCGTGGAGGACTGTGACCGAGAGGACTGCGACCTCGCATGGTGAACCTGAAGTACATTTATTCAAGGTCAGACATACAGTTCACTTAAAGCACGTTTCCAATCCAGCGACACAATCTCACCGTATGGGATCAAGCAAGACACAAACAATACCGACACTACCGACATTTGAAATAGCACCTACGCGATCGGAAAAGCTACAAAAACCGCACACAGTCCTTATCGTGGTAATACAAATGCGCACAACCCATGCAAAACAAGCGACGAATACCACAGTAGATGTGAGAGTTCAACGCAACTGCTCAAAAACCCTAAAAACCCAGCTCGACTTGCAACTTCTAAAACGCACGAACTAAACATCATACGTCTCCAAAACATTCCTAGCACACTCCATCCCCCTTCCCATTCCCGTACACTCAAATTTGAAGAAACTACCAACCAAAGGCCTTCCGACGAACCAAACAAATCGAACAATGCACTTCCAAAACTCCCGCCCAAATGCGAAACCCCGCCTAACCCAGCCACAAATCGGCAACAATATCGGCTGAAAGAAAAACACACGAGCAATACGAGAGGCTCTCGATCGAGAGGGTTGAGGGCATACGGAAGTCGATCGAGTAGAGGCAGAAACGCGGTCGACTAGAGGCGCGAGCACGAGCAGGGGCATCCACGGCACCTCCTCCTCAACTCAAAGCAAAGCAACGTTATGCGAAGCAGGATGACGGCTGCAACCCTGATAGCTTCCGCTCTTGGATGGATGGGTGGATGGATGACGCATTCCTCGTATTTCATTCATCCTCTCTCCGGATTTCTCTCACGTTGCATTAGGGCGAACCGTCTGCTAAATCGAACGGTCAGAGCGAATTTTGGGATCTACGGTGCTTTCCAGCTTCCTCAAAACTCGTTGCTTGAACAATTTAAATAATTGGGTGAATTAGGTAGATAAATGAAGAGATAAATTAATAAATACGATTGAATTGTAATTTTCGAACAGCGGTTATTTAAGCAATTTTTTTCTGTGACTATTCATGTGGAAGTGATTACACATTACATGTGTAGTAAATTTTTATGTGAGCTCAAAAAACAACAATTGTTATATCTTGTGGGGTTTGAATTCCTTGTGTTTTTTTTTTTTTTTTTTTTTTTTTTCGGTTAATAGTTCGAAAAAATTTATTAGTATGAATTTAATTGAATTTATGATAATTTTTTTCATATTTAAAGCATTGATCTCATCACGTGCTCCTGTTTGTCTTACGCTTGTTTTTGTGCCGTTGGAATTCAACTTCAACATGTTGATTCTACAAGAAGCTCGTTATTGAGTCCAGATTTTGATATGCAGATAAAACTACCACAAAATCACGTAGTAGTGAGTTAGACCATGAGAATTAAAAAATGTTTGTAGTTAGACTGTATCCACCAGAAAACATTTTTTGTTAGCAATATATCACATATTCATTTTTGTGATAAATTCACTAAAACAACTGAATCAATTCCATGAATAGGAACATTGCATTGGCTTTTAATATACCAATGACTTGCTTATTTACTTTAAATAGTAATACTTTGCCAAAATCTAAAGAATCCATTATTTGGTTTAAGTAGTAAAGGATGTCAATTTTTTACATAGCAACTAAAATTTATAATCATAATAAAAATATTTTCAATAAACCTTGCTTGAAATACCTCATTTAACTTATTTTAAAATCAAAATTTTAGCAATAAAAATTTATTATTCATTTTTATATAAATGAGTGATTTAGTTTAAAGGTTCTTATTTAGTTTATCAAACATGGTACCAACAACACATTTTTTATTTTTTATTTTTTTATGTGTAAGAAATAATAGTGTAAATTTTTTACATTCATTTTTTTTTTATCTATTTTTACATTTTCTTTTTCTTTTTAAAAGACATTTTTTCATTGCTAATCACCCAATGAGCTAATTGTATTAAAATTCACTTACATAGTGTTTTTTCTGTATGTTTTAAGATATTTTTTTTGATTAACTAATTGAGGTAATATATTTAAGAAAATTTAATTTAAAACAAAATTTATTAAACAATCAACTTAAACAATAGTAATTTTTCTTTTATAAAATATTAAAGATTTTTAAAATTTTAATAATCAACTTAATTTTAATACATTCTTAACTGATTTCATCAAAACTCTGGAAATACAATCCAATATATCAACAAAATAGATATGTTTGTAACATAAGATGAAGAAGTGGCAACATTAATATAAACCATAACTAAATCTAATATAACGCTTAAATATATATGCTTTCAGATACAAGAAGAGCTAGCAAGGTTTAAATTAAAAAAAACTAGAAAAACCATAAAATATTCAAAATGAATTTTCCTTCTTTATAGACTATATTTGTAAAGCTCTAAGTACAAACAACTTAAATATAAATTTATATATATTTTTAAACATAAGTTAAAATATAAATTTTATATTATATTTTGTTAATGTATGCTATATCTTAAGACTCATGCAAATTTGATAATTTTTAGGTAGAATTCCAAAATAAAATTATCAAGGTAGAATTTTTTTCAGTATTTAAAGATTATCTTGTCCTTGAGAATTACTATAAATTAAATATAGTAAATTTAATGCATGTATTTTCGTAACAAAATATTAATTCTCATTTTACTTTATTATTTTTGTAAAATTCGAGGTCATACTTTGATGATGATATTTCTGTAAAATTCGAGCCTGTAAATGAGCCTAGAGCCATGCCAACACTATACAGAAACAACATCCAGTCACAGAACCCATGTACTGGTACAAAGCTCCTTCATGTTCACAATGGGATTGAAGATTGAAACGTGGTGGGAAACATCCACACGTCCACTACCCATCCCGCCACTGTGATCTCACTGCCCATCGTTGGTTCCATCCATTGCCACCCAATACTTCTTGACCACAGTCGTGAAGGCTTAAAGCTGTCCTGATATATATTCAAAAAGTTCCATGTCCTTGGATGGGACGCCTGCTCGTTTTTTCCCCACCCATCAGCTCATTCCCCTCTTCAGCGATACCGTTTGTCAACATCTGAGCTCTTACTTCCGAGGCTTTCCAGATAGAGCACGTGCGACTGATTTATCTAAATGATTTTGTTTTCTGTGTTTAGGATAGAAGGGCTAAATATTGTTTTTATATTATGTGTGGTGAATCCGACAAAACGACATGCCCAAGAACTAGACTGTTGTTGACTCACCAGCGGCACAGCAGATGGAGCAGTCCGCAGAGTCGCCCTCTGGCTTTCTCCTCTCTGACCCGACAAGTTGGCACCGTGCTTAGCATGGATGGAAGAACGGTTTCAGCTTTCAGATATCGTCCACGACGTCACTGAGTACAACGCGGTTGTGTCGCGCCTGCAACCTAGGACTGGCACCACAAGTCCGAGGATCAGTTCTTAGGCCGCCTACCATCGTCTCGGGTACGCTGATTCTTCGTCGATGTGAACATGAGGAACCAAAAGATGTCGAAGGTCTTGGTTCATTTGTGATGCTTCGGAGGTCCCAAGCTGATCCATGCCTTCTTGGGTAGCTTATTGTCCAACCTCTTCCTTACTGTTACCAAGCAATCATTCTAAGCAGTCCAAGTCCATTGAGGACATTGTTGCTCAATTCGCCTTCACGATCTTCAGTGGTGTCCGGCATCACCCCTGGCCCAACGCATTGATGAGTTCTCCTGTAGGGTTGTTGCCCTCAACGCTCACCTGACTAGCTCTGTCTGCGCCTGGCGTTGCAGTAGGAGCCATTCTTAACGTACCTCTGCTCTTGAAAATGTCCGTTACAGTAGCCCCGATACCTCTAGGTCATCCGACAGTGCTTGTTGATATCGTGGCCACTGTAAGTAGCAACAATGAAATTGCACAAGCCCCTACATCTTCTCTTGAGAGAACTCCAATGACAACTGCTTGTGGCGATAGATTGTAATACCTCGTGCTTGGCTTGCTTGTTGATCACCAATCAGAACACCAAGTATCGCCTCTTCCTTAACACCAGCTTCAACTTCTATGTTCCAGCAGTTTTGGCTTGCCCGTTTTGGGTTACGCTTGAGAGCCTTCCCACAGCCAAGGTGAGGATATACGATGACCTCCAAAGAGGCATTGCATGCTTTGAACACACGCATTGTCCAAGACAGGGACCCGGTTCCACATGTTGGTGAATCCACCCATTTCCTCACAGGTTGCAACATCTTCTCCACGTGAGAATAAGGCCACGCCGTCAATCGAATTCCTGCTCGGAGACGCTTCAGCTTTGGCGCGGCGGTGGGGTGGACTCGGCTACCGGCTTCCGATCCCACGGCGGCTGGCAGCCCCTCGGGTTGTTCTCGACAAACCCTTTTCCTTTAATTAAAGTTCTTTAAAGTTACGTTCAGCAACTATTGTTGAAGACATAATGTGAAACTATGTTGAGGCTTGATTGAACTTGGATGATTATAATATTTTTTCCAACATTAATGATTAATTTATTTTTCTTTATTTGAGG